AGCGACCTCAGTCTACACCGTTTGGTTTAACACACATGACAGACTTTTGTTAATTGAACTTTAAGAGTTCTTATTCAATTTCGGACCCTTGACAATACGAGTTGTAGTTTTGATTCCTCATTATCTCAACGCTCTAAAAAATAATCTTATAAAATGGACTATTCACACGACAGCATTATTATATTAGGAGTTCTAGCCCATGCCATGACTAGAAACAACGATAACCTCCAAATAATTTCATTAAATAAAATGTATGTACATAAATACATAAATATATAGCGTAGGTACATTAAACTTTTGTTCCTCCTTTTTTAAAAAAATCATTGGTTTTACTGTAGGAAAACCTTATCCTGTCATGTAAAGATGTTTTGAAAACATTAATTTCATGTGGACAAACACCCAGATCCGAAATAATTATCTGTTCGTCAAACAAGTACTTGTCCCTTCGTTGGAATCGAACCAACGACCTCCGGCCCCGTAACCAATACTTAACAGCTGCATCATGGAGTCATTTCTATCATTATTCATACTTACTTTGCGAATTTTGATGTCCGTTTTTACAATACTTATATAATGTACATTTAAAAGGAATTATATCCAAAATTGTATTATAAAGATAAAAAAATGTAAATATCAGAAAAATGTTAAGTCCCTATTTTTCTTATTACAAAAGTACATTCGATGGTGTTCGTGATGATCATGAACATGATCAAGTTCGAGACGGGGCGTGAACACGAGCTCATGCTACTCACCCTAATGAAGGAATATGATATGTCCGAAACTAGTATGTACCCTGATTGGACATTGGTCAGCCGTTTTATTACTTCATTGTTAATGTCTCGCGAAAGTTTTGACAAATTAACTCTTATTATCTTACCGTGAATGACGCATCCTAAGAAGAGGAGCCCAATCAGTCGCGCCAACATTGTACGGGGCTTACTGCACTGCGCCTGTTGTGGGAACGCTCTGCGGCCTGCGTCGCTTCATTTGGGAGGTCACGATACACTGGTCAATGTCACTTCACAAACCGATTAGTAACTTTCGTTTTTAATTTGAACACTCAGTCGAAAAATGTGAAATTGCCACTCACAGTAACATAACACTATCACTGAACGACACTTGTTGAAATCTGTAACAAAACAAGTATATTATTATGCTGTTGTAAAAAAAAAATTAAAGTTCTCGCAGGGTTGACTGCACTATTAAGAATAAAACGAGATTAATGGATTTTATGCCATCATAAAAAAATGATGTGACTGTATTGTACCATACTGAGGATCCCTATGCCCAGCAGTGAGACCTATATGTCCCACTGCTGGCCATCCTCAGTATAAGTGAGTCCATCGCGAGACCCCGCTGAGTCTTAGTGGACATCAATATCTTTTTTCTTTTATCATTCTTTCGAACACGTACAGGTTTCCGCACAATGTTTTCCTACTCCGCTGAGCACGTGGTGAGTCAGCAATAAAAATTGCAACTTACAATTTCGAGCCGGCACCGGGGTTGAAACTCAGGTTGCTCGAGTAGGTAGATTGAATTAAAAGCTAGCGCCCGGATACTGAACCGTGGCTCAGTATCCGTAAATACAGCGTCATTAAAGATACTATGTTTTATGGCCTAATTTTGTTTATGAATATAAAAGTAATATTAAAAACAAGGTACTCATATTTAAAACAGTTTCCCTTTCACAGAACTTCAAATTAAGTTGATTGTGTTCAAAAATTTCTAAGCGATATCGCTGTAGAAACCGTTCAAATAAATCGACCATTTCCATCTGACGAAGAGAAATACTTTTGCCTGCGGCATTAGGCAGCTGCAAATCCTGTTCCAGATCGACTCGTATTTTATAGTTTGCTCATAGTTCGAGTTCAATTTAACTCTACTTCATCAGGAGACTATATAATTAAAAATATTTTTTTTAAAACATTGCCCTTACTTTAGGATAACATCATCCTGTGTTGTAAGAGCTTTTCATGAAACATAACTTTCACGTGGACAAACACCCAGATGCGAAAAAACTATCTGTGAGTCGCACAAATAGTTTTCATATGTGAAATTCGAGGACATGACCCCCGAAACTTGGCAACTGCGCCACGAAGTCATCAAAAGTGATCAAAAGAGTATATATATATATATATATATAAAAGTGCCTAATCTTTAAATAAGATGATGTCTTCATCATGATATCAAAGAAAAAAATATGAAGTTTATCGGCTATGTTATATTAATGAAAACAAAATGTTCTCTACACTACTGTAGTACGCAAGAACCAAATAATCAACATACGTTTCGTTTTGAATTAATGACTTCACTTGTAGATAGACCCAGTAACCTCAATTGGTAGGAATATTTGAAGGAAATACACTTCCATCGTAAACGTGAAATTAGGACGTATAGATGATCGAATAAATTGCAACCGTCCTACGTGTCGTGCTGAAGCCTAGTTTGTCGCATTCATTAAATTCCGACGTGTGGGTTGCGAGAATACGATGTGGGTCGTTTTTTTCTTTACCCAACCTTTGTAGAGCTATGCGGGCTGTTCGTTAACATTCATACACACATACGTACATATAGCCACGCCCCTTCACGGTGAAGGTGTTTTATGCCGAGACAATACCTCACTTTGCTCTTCTAACCATCTGATGGTGAATGATGTATGCTATCATAATTTTGAAATAATTTTTTTAAGAAATTTCCCTTCGGATGTTTCGCTGTTGTTTCGCAGAAATTGCGGAATTCGGAAATGGAACGCTCTGGAAACGTATTACTTTATCATATGTGTGAAAAACCTTTTTCATTTTGTCGTATTCCTTTGGTCTGATGTTCAGCAGTGGATTCAAACAGGCTGAAATGATGATGATTATGATATACAGCATTTTGATGGTTGCCTAGGATAATAAATTACAACAATTTTTAAAACCTTTACGCTGGAATTTGGTCAGAATTCGAAATTTATAAGAATGAGCATATTTTTTCATATCATCTCATTTATACATTATTATTATGTTGGGGATATATCTTTGTTTTCTCGTCTGGCTGGGTTTATAGATAAAAAATAAACATATAGACATATATTGCATATATAAAATAAATATTATGAATAAAAATAAACATATAGATATAAATATTGTATATAATACATATATAAATAGGACCCAACCAGACGGAAGCCCTCGGCAGGGGAGACCAAACGGCCGAGGGTTAGGGTGAAAGGGAGAGAAACCGGCGGACGATGCGGGCGGTATCGAGGAGTACCGCTTTCTGCATTAGAGCTTGGAGCGTTCCGTCCCGGAGTCTCAGTCGCCTCAGATGTCCGGAGAGGCTGACTGGGATCAACCCATTCGCAGATACGACTATTGGGAGGTCGGCACACCACCCCACATGTCGGTCACGTCGTGAGCCAGGTCCAGATACTTCGTCTTCTTATCTGTTTCGGCTTTCACGAGGTTCTCGTCATATGGAATGGTAATGTCGACCAAAAATACCCTTATTATTGTTATTATTTTTCTATACTTTATTGTATGCTTGTTACTGTTTTAACGTTTACTTAAATAATTTAGGTTTTTCATTGAAATAAAATGCAAGCCACATTCCCCCTTTATTATATAGATATTAATATTATTCCTTATAATTCTTGATGTTTTAAATTTATCATGTTTAAGGAAAATTAAAACGTCACCGGCAAAATCGCGGGCGGTAACTTTTGTACAATAAATAAAATTTTGGTAGCTATTGTGTATTCCGAACACAGAGCAGTTATAAATAAAGCATTATCTGGAACGATTTACTATTATGTAGAACAATGAACGTATATAAAAAGTAGTTTATGGGCGTGTCCAATTAATAGAAACGTTTGGAATTATTGCCAGCCCATGTCCAGTTCGTTAGCCATTATTCTTTTTTTATTTCGTATATAATAGCACGCTTTGAACTCTAATAGGTTTGAAGAACATAGACCTCACCGGAATATATATTTATCTATGTCCGACAACCGAGTATAACGAATGCGATTGATTGATAATAACCCCAAATTATTGTACTAGGTATTAGGTATTGGAAATATCTCATGTTATTCAGATTTATTTAGCTTTACTCTATTCCCATTTCAAATCCACTAGAACATTTTAGCATGAAAAAAGAAAAATTACATTAGAGGTAAAACTTTGAACAAAATGTTATTGGAAATTTGGCTAAACTTGTTTTTTTAAATTCAATTTAATTTCATTATTTTCTAATGTATTTATGTAATTTAAATTGCAATTTAAAATAATGAAATTAAATTGAATTAAAAATAACTAAAAATTTAAAATGAATGCAAAGTTTTCGGCTATAATAATTTATTTTGTTTTAATATCACTGTCAAAAATGTCACCCGTGGCACGATAGTACACAAATTATACGATAGTATAACCACGAAGCAGACGACAGTTTGTTGGCATCGTTTTATTGAACAGACGTCCAACGCCTTAGTCCATTCCATGAACCATGTAAAGGGTTCGTAACGTCGGGAAATAAAACTAAAAATAAACGCGACAAATCCGTAAACAGTTTCATTTACCAATGTGTAAAGTAGCGTAAGTAAAGTAAGTAAAGTAAAGTAACAGCCCATATATGTCCCACTGTTGGGCAAAGGCCTGCTCTACATAGAGGGTATATATATATATATATATATATATATTAACCATAAAATTTTGATAGACATATCCATCCCACCGAGTTATTAGGAGTTAACAACCCACCAAATGGAAGAAGCCGTTAAACTTTCGCGCAAAGATTATTTGGCGCGTAACAATAATCCAATTGAAAAAATGCTACAATAAATGCAAGGCTCTGAAAACTACGCGTTTGTTGAACAAATATTTAGTCAACGATTTTTCGAAAGTTCCCGTTGATTTTAAAGATCAGCTCGAATGAATAGACTTTATTTGACGTTCTAAGCCGCCGCCTTTATTTATCCAAATATCGATTCAACGACATCTTCATCACGCGTGATCTTATTAGAACTTCCCGGTCACTAGTGCTGTTCGAGCAGCCTTGTCGAGCCGTCGATAAATCACGAGACTAGCTCTCGGACTTTCTCGTCGCCCGCAACGATCGCGGTGTCTTTTGCTCGGAGCAACGTTCCCGCTAGGCGGGCGTCGCGCGGGCCGTGAAAGTCGGAGGTTTACCGCAAACCGTCCGCGCGTTAACGCGAACGTTCGCGTTACGGCGAACGCGGATTCGGGCGTCGATTTTTCAACCGTTTCCGTTTGGCCGGTATGCGAGTCGCGTTCCACGCGCGGCGGACCGGAACGTTGCGTTTGGCGGGTTCCGTTTGATGTTGAAACTGATGTTCGGACCGGCAGCATATCTATTCATTTTTAATTCAATTGCAATTTTCACGTTATTACCATTATATAAATGGTTGTACGACACACTTGTTATTATATTTTTATAAACTACCTAAATAGATTACATAAGGTTTTTGTATAATTACATTTTATGCAAATACGATATATAGGATCGTTCACTTTTACAGATGTTAGCTATACTTTGTTTTATCGAGCTAAGAAGGTAGAAATATAAATACTTTTACCAAATCACCGTAGTTTCACTTTGCACAACAATAACACTGGTGTAATTACTTATTTTATCACTTTAATATCACTGATGAAACACTACTTCTTGATGACAGCCAGAGAAAGAGACGAAGACGACGAAGACCACGATCAAAGCCATGAAATGCTTCTTGCAGCTTCATTTATACCTCACAGAATGACACTTCTTTTAGTGTTACCAACAACCTCAAGGAACGACTTCCTTTAGTGTTGCCAACACAGACATATAAGATATCTTTGCGACTTCTTCGAAATTGATTAAATTCGGATTAACACAGCCGAAAAAACCTAAATTACGAATTTTTGTAGGTATTTGTAATTTAATAAAAAACTTAACTTAAACTTTACACTGATTTTTATGTACGCATTATTAGACACCACAACAGCAACTGCGCGGCCGAGTTCATTTAACAAATGATGAAACCGATAATGTTTAGTTGGCGATGTTTTTTTTGACAGGATATATCACTGTTGGCATTTGGCTCCTTTATAGATCCACCGGGCTTGAGGCGGCTTGGAGGAACGATGGCTTACTGTCCTCGAGCTTAGGCTATCAATCAATACCCGTTTACCATTCCGATTCGAGGGTGCCCGAGAGGGCCGTACCTCGGCTCGATCGGTAGCTGTAGTCTGGCTGGCAGAATTTCTATAGCTATCATCACTACCACTTTGGAAACCATTTGCGCTGGGAGAAGAAGTGGTGGAAGGAACTCCAGCAACGCTTCTATCATTAACTGGCGAAAACCTGCCAAGTACGCGACGAAACCTAGTATTTGTTTGCCGCACTCGCCGCTGAGCGCGGTGTGTTCTGGTCTGTTCTCGTAATTTTTCAATCTGTCGATGGCGACAGTCGTCGTTCAATCGTATGTCTCAGCAAATGCAACACATATCGACATTTCTTTTATCTAGTTAGAGTATGTCATCACAGCAGACTCAAAGGAATAACTTATACAATTTTCAATCCAAAAAAATAATTACATTGCTTATAACAAATATCAAAATTGAGCGGCCGAAAGCCGAAAACATTATATAGAAAACATGCCGGTTTCCACGCAATATTTTCCGTCACTTGAGCTTTGGTACAATAAGCGAGCGCTCGAACACTGAACTAAAATTTCCACTAAAATGACCAATTACGTACATAAAGCCCTATAAATCATATCTAAGCATCGTTGCAACGTCTGCCTATAATTACGCATGTGGGAGAAAGTAACGGAACGGCGCATACGTTCTCCCATAAGCTAAAGAACGCGTGATTACTAAACAGGTACATCAATGTGATGGAGAAATAATTTATTAATAGCAACGGTATGTACGATTATGTGTAAAAAATTGTTGTATATTTGAAAGACAAAAAAGTGGATAATAATACCGCAGAGTTTCTTGCCGCTTCTTCTCTGTTCAGGTCTAGTTTAGTGAACAGGTGATAGTTTTGTTTGATGTTCAATAAGAGTTTAAATTAAGCCTGTATTGAATAAAGAAATTATGATATTAACAATTACTTTAATTTTGACTTGCTTCTTGTCGATTGCGTGCTTTCTCTCTCTCTCTGTACCTTTTCTGCGTTTAAGTCAAAACAGTTTTAAATAACTTCACCATCAGGTTTACTATATTACGTTCTCATTTCTCATTCTCTCTTTTTTACGTTAAGGTTAAATATCTAAATTTGATCGATTGCCCCCTTTTCTTCTTATTCTTTTTCCTGCCCTTTTTCCACTTAGGTATGGTCGGCATAACACTTAAATACTATTAGATATAGGCACGTTTTTTTACGACCGTCTATCTACCTGACTTATAACATGCTAAGCGGTGAAGAGAAACATCGTGAGAAAACCTGCACATTCTCGGAATAAAAACAAAAACTATGTAGCAGATATGTGCAGGTCGCGTGGTGGACTATGCCCTAATGTCCTCTGTACAGTAGAGTCCTTTGCCCAGCAGTTACATATATTATCGGCTGTCCTTACTTTTCACTAATTAGTCAAAGAGTGATGAATGAAATTTACTACTGGATAAATAAGCTTTTGCGGGCTTGTTCAATATATATTTACTTCAATAGTGTTTCCTCATGGAAGACTGGCATAAACTAAAAATATTCACAATCTGATAGTTTGCACTGTAAGTTAACCTTGTTGTTGCAACCGGAGTCTAGATGTCAGTGTGTAGTTTTAGATTTCACCTAACATTTACTGAAATGTCTGCTTGCTACCTGCTATAAAAAGGGATACAATAACCATATTTCGTTTATATAGTTCGAACTATATACCTAAAAATTGCAATACCTTTTCAATATATTTCGTATTAACATTCGAAATGTTCCTTCAGCACAATTGATAAAGAAAAGTTAAAAGCCAACCCGCGTCATAGTTGGCACTTGTATTTGAAATTTGAATGGAGAGGATTGTAACATAGCGTCGAGTATGCATGGACAAATCTAATTTCCTGTCGTGCCTTCTGAGCTATTATTACTTTCTACTATTCCTGTTTATTCAATTATTACGTCAAATGAAAATACTGAATAAAAAACACGTCATTTGCTAATTAAAATTGCTAATTCCATGCTTTTCAAAATGAAAGTAATATGGTTTTGATTTAATACAAATTTTAAATAAACCAGGAAAAACTGTATAGGAATGACACTCTGTTGTAGCTATATATATATATATATATATATATATATATATATAGAATACTCTATAAGGAAATTATTCTTATTTCAATTATACTTGTAATATTAAAATTTTATTTTGTATCAATCGTTAAACTCTTCAGTTATACGACATCCTTTTAGTTATTGTGTTATGGTCTGTACAACATCTTCGATAGCGAAGACAATATACATCTATACATGTAATATACATCAATAAATGTATACATCTCTAAAAGCAAATAACATCTTCACTACATAGTATAAAATAAAGTCGTCCCGCTATCTGTCTGTCCCTATGTATGCTTAGATTTTTAAAACTACGCAACGGATATCGATGCGTTTTTTTTTTTAAATTAAATAGTGATTCAAGAGAAAGGTTTACATGTGTAATACATTGAACTCGCGCGAAGCATAGGCGGGTCGCTAGTACAATATATATACTATATAGCAACACAATGACAGTCATTCAACCCGGTTTTACACATCTTCATTGAAAATTTATTCGCAATTAGGTTACAAGACAAAGAAAAGTTACACCATAAACAGATCTACGTGCGTCCATCTAAATCCTGAAACAGACCACCGTTTTCAATATGAGTATTTTCAATCTTATACAGTGTCCAGGTAAATAGGTCACCAGAAGTCAAAGTGTGATAGATTCGGACTAGTCTGTGTGAAAATGAGCCCGGTGTGACCGCGGCCTAACTAAGCGTGATCCACTTGACCACGTCGCGGTAGAGAGCACCACGATGATTGCGCCTTTCTCCGCATTGTGACGGGCACAGATTAAAAATATTCTATCACAGATTAAAAATATAATTGCACTTATTAGCAGCGCTGCGTAGAACTGCATTTGGTATCATTTGCGCATCGATGAAGGCCTTAGGGAACTAAAAGCAAAATCATCATACACGGAGCTTATTACAAAAAATTAGCATTCCTAGTGTGTTATATGCTCATAAAGCGAAATCAAACTGGCCGTTTATAGCAAACTCTACACATAAAAAAAAAATTCTTGAGTTTTCATTATCAATAGACACCAAGAAAAAACCTGCTTCAGTAAGTACTATGTGTGTGTTACGTATGATATTTGATTTGCGATCTTAAGATCGCGAGTTAGAAGTGGTGTGCGTTAATAAGTGTGGGAATTTAAGGATTTTCTTTTCTCTTAAAAAAGTACACAAATTAAAAATATAAATTAAACCCAGAATTTTATAATTTAAAAAAAAAAACGGTGAAACTTAATTACAGAAAAAACAGTAAAAACAGAACTTTTCTCTAGTTGCACGTGTACTGTGTGCACATGTAGTGTGCCTATATCAAATGAATAATTAACAAACGCAAAGCACACAAAGTTGTCAGAAACTAAATAAGTATTTGAAATAGAATGGGAGTTGTGATTCGTTTCGCTATTCGTTCCCTAGGGAAGTTACACGAGGAACGCCGTGAAATCCCTCGGATATCACGGTTTGAATCGATTCACAGCGTTTACTACATAACGGTATAGTGATAAAGACTATAATTGCGTGTATACGTTTAAACGACGAGTTTCGGCTTCATCGCCGAGCACAACACGTCATCGTGTAATGACTTTGTTCGCTCTTATTACGACACGTCATTCAATAGTTTGTAATTATATCGTTTATAAGTTACGTGCTCCGTTGTTTAAATTGCTTGCATTTGCAATGAAGTATACATAATGGTGGCAAAAAAGTATAATATGTTCTAATTTCTGTTATACCGATTGTTATATCTTCCAATTTTATGATAATATAATGGGAAAATTTTAAGCTTTTTTGCATTTTACGTAATGGCGAAGAGGCAATAAAGTTTCTTGTTGGATCTAATGTAATTATTAATAATTGTCTTCATCACTGTTTTAAGAAGTACCTAATTTCTGGAAGAGTCAGCAACAAACCTTAATATTTCTCCCCTGTTATTAGAAATATAATTGATAAATACATTAAATAACCTGTAATATTATTAAAGCTATAACAATTTAATTTAATTGTTAATTCTTAGTGCTAGTGTCAGAACTAACAAACTTAAAAATATGTATATAATATGTATATAACTTAAAAATGGTAGGGACACGCAACAG